GAAATAAAGGGTGTTCCATTAAAAAAATTATACATCTTGTCCATAACTTTTGTTTTGAGATTTCCAATTGTTTTTCTGTTAACAAATTCCAAATCTACAGGAAAAATTATAAAAGACTGTTCTTTGGAAAAAAAATTCGATGATAAATAAAATAGTTGAGAGGAGGTTCAAAATAAACGTGAAGACCCTGTACTTAGTACTTAGTCAGCGAGTTCTTCCAATACAATCAAAATCATTCCAATCGCGGAGGCACCGGTTGACCTGCAGCGTGTTAACCTTTCTCGAGTGAGGAATGTTCTTTGTGCCATGGAAGAGTGCCGACATTCTTCCATCCACTACTCACTTACTAGCCAATAAAAGTTCATCCATAAACTACGAATATTGATGAGTATAGGTATAGGTACTAGGTAGCCGTAGATCCGAACAAAAATTAGGGTGGTCTTCCATCTTGCAACATGAGCGCCCACAAAGAGGCCGTGGCCCCCCCAATGAGAATTCTGTACTTGTTTTGTTGAAATTTTCAATCTATTTATATCTATTGTTTACGAAAACAATGCCATCAGCCACTAGTACAGAAGTGTTTTGGCTATTTATTTTTTTTGCTTTTTGTTTTTATTGTTGCACGGCTCGGAACTGCTAGAACAACTTTTATTTTGTACGAATATTTGCCAAATTCATAGTCGCATCTATAAACTAGGCAGATGAAACTTTTTTTTCTACAAAATATCTTGATTTTCAGTTGCTACTGTGCTACTGTAAATTAGTTGCAACTGTAAATTGGGAGATGTATAGAAAAATAGTTATTTATGTATACCAGGACGAAAACTGTATATTATAGTCGAGCTCGATAGTCGAGCCAGCAAATTGCTAGCCTCGGCTGGGCCTAGGCTATCAATCCGGCGTCGTCGACATCGAACACTTATATTAACACACCACTATCTTATTCACACTTAAAATCGAGTTAACATCTATCGGATTCCGTAAATAATTAATTTGATGAAAACAAATGACAGTTGGCAGCTTCAACTTGCAACAAATCATGCTCTCTTTCGACAATAATATACCAAATATTCTTCAGGAGGCTAGGCAAAATATTAAAAATCAGTGTGTGCGCCTAGGTCAGTTATTGTCGAGGTTATTGTTGAGAGGGGAGTTCCGAAATGTCTTGCGCTAGTCAATTCTGTAAGGCAGTTTTCTCAACCAAGTGACTAATTCATAAATCCACTTCGATCAAACCCAAATTATGGTGTTTTTGGTTTTTCATGTGCCTAATGTTTCTTTGGAACACCTTGGTCTGTGCCTTCATTTCATATTTTGGTAGGTAAAACCCTAGGGGTACACTGCGGTCAAAATTGTGTACAACAAACTTGAATTTCACAAAAACTTCCAAGGAATTCCAGAGAATTTCAAGGAATTATACCGCAATTCACACAAGAAATTCCAAGAAACTCAAAGGAATTCCAGGGAACTCCAAATCCAAGGAATTCCAAGGAAATCTTAGGAATTCCAAGGAAATCTAAGGAAATCCAAGAAAATCCAAGAAAATCCAGGGAATTCGAAGAAAATCCAAGAAAATATAAGAAGCTCCAAGGAATTCCAGTTGTTTGTACACCAGAATTATACCGTACTTCACCCAAAGAATTCCAAGGAAATCCAAGAAAATACAAGGGATTGCAAGAAAATCCAAGGAATTCCGATGTCGACAATGATTTGAATGAAAGGTTCAATGAACTTGCGAAGTTTGCCGATACTATTCACACCTCCGATTCACACAATATTGTTCGCAGCATTCCGGACATACCGGTAAAATTCTGCTGCTACTGTCACCAGGAATCAGAAATTGTGTGACTTTCAAATCACTAATAACTCGTTAACACATATTTAGCAGTTATATATGTATATACCTGATAATGAATACCAATAACGGTGAATTTTCTACAAGGCCAACTATCTTTGATCATGCCTGAACCTAACGTTTTTGAACTTTGTTTGAACGGAGGTTTCCTCGTTTAGTTACTATAGCTCGGTTTCTAGGTAGATCTAAAGAGTGTGCTTAGATGGTTTAGATGTTTAGATCTATGCATATACCTACTTAATCAATGGAATTATTGGATTTCTATTCAGATTCTACGATGTATCCTCGGATTATCCGAGGGATTATCTTCGGATTTATCCCACAGAGCAACCTCTCTATTTCTGATCTGTATAGGTCATCTAGGTATAATTATAATATGTGATTGATGTTTATAACCTCTAGGTGGTTAAAAAACTTCAGAAGATTTTGATCTCGATTTTGATTATGCTCCACCCCATAACATAACACCAATGAAGTATGGAATGTAACCTTGAATCTACATCCAGTGATGACTGGACTGGACGAACTCGTGAACGACTCAATGTAAGTTTGGGTTTCTGACTTTCTGATAGGTGTTCCCTCAGGATTCCAAACATTCAACTAGATTTCCCCCTTGCTAGATACTTTATGGCAGAGTTTATGGCTAATTGGCTATATCGCCTATGTGATCTCTCATATAAGTCCGAGACAGATTGATTCCTTTTCTTCTACTCACGTGGGTAACGGTTTTACCCGTTTTACCAGAAAATGTTCTTTTAGGGTTTATCAAGGTCAGGAATTACAAACTGCTAGAGTGTAACTTCAATAATTCAAGATGGCGGGCTTTTTTCTTTTTTCTTTTGGAGCGCACGAAAGGGAATCCCGAGGGGAATCCCTGTAATGTTCGAAGAACATTGTGCGTGCTTTGGGAGGATAGGGAGACGACGAGGGACAGCTTTGTTGTTTCCCTCGAGACAACGAATTCAAGGTCAAGATTGGAGGTTTTCTATTTGGTTTACTGCTATCAAGGATCATGAATTTTGTCGAAATTTCCGATGCACATTCAGAATGGTTCTAGCGAGACCACAGATCGTGACCCGAGACCTCTACCTCGGGCTCAACCAATATGGCGGACGATTTGGTCATCTGATGTTTGATTCGCCTGAAAATACTGAGAAAATATACACGTATACGCCCTGAGGGTTTTCAAAGTCAAGGGAATGCATATTTTTCAACCAAAATGTGAGGATCATTAACAAAATGCTCAATGAAAAGTTTGCAGAGAATTGTATATAAATTTGATAAAAAATTACTACTTAATAACTTAATAACTCAGTAATACCCGCTCAAAATGTTTGTCAAGTTTTTGCGAGATTTTGGTGGGGAGAACTCGATTATACAACTGGTGAGAAATCTCATGACAAGTAGTGAGGGCAGTTCGGAGAAAACCAGCGAAAAATTGTATTCATTCATTTTCATTTTATTTTGCTTCTGTTGCATTTACGTTAGGTAAGTTGGTGAATAAATATATCAAGTATAGAGCTCATTATCGAGCTCTCGAGTTGATTATAATTTTCCCTAATTTTTCGAGTATTTTTCATCTGGTGGGTGATACGTGGTGATACGATGGGAACCGGTACATGGGCCGGTACGCCTTGTTGATCTCATTATTCTCAAGTAAAAGTAGAAGTTGATGGCGAGAGTGCACAAGTCTACAGCAATTGTCCGACTATGGTATACTTTCATGCTAGCTTTAATGTCTATGCAGTTTATGTAATTATAATTATGTATTACGTATCTTCCTTGTTGCATTCATGCCTTGATTTATGCAAACCATTTGCAACCGAATCAAGTAGGTCAATATGCGATTTATTGCGGCGCAACCTCGGGCAAAAGCTCACAGAATCGGGCAGAAAATGCTGGTGTTTACTTTGAGATATTGATAAGAATTCCAATAAAAGAACAAAAAAACGTACTGATGAAAGACTTGAGAAAAATAGTTATTTATCATACAAGGGAAAAAAATAGTAGATTTTAGCTGGAGGTTGTGTTGTCTCCCGACCCCACAAAAAACCGTTCTTTTGAAGTAATCAAACATCTGTCAGTCAATTCTGTGATATGATTTTGAAAAATTTCGAACTTAATAGTTGTTTAGTAATTCATATAACCCCAGTGTAACCCTAACCACGAAGTGGAATGGGAGATAAAAGGACTTCGGCACAACAAAAGAACTCCCTTTTTTTCCCTGTGATAAAAAAGTAATTCATGAAAAGTGACATTTTATAACCTGTCAGCAGATATGAAATGTCAAACTTTTTTCCTGTCAAAGAAAATAGTAGATTGTTTTAGTAGGATCAAAAGTGACACTTTGTTTGACAAGCGAATTTTGCATTTGCGAGGCGGAGCGTTTAGCGAAGCCGAGCGAAAGCAAAATTTGAGTAAGTACCTAGGTAGGTAAATAAAGGAGGTAAAAGTGCATTTAGGTAGGTTTCCTAGGTAGGTACACTCAAGTAGGTATACAGCAAGCAAGAAGTTAGTGATTAATTTTACTTTTACTCCGTTTTACAAAGTTGCTGTTCCATGGTTTTATTCAATTAAAGAAACCTTGAAAGGATCTAACTAATTATGAATTTAAAATAATATAAGTACCTATAAATATGGTCGGATCTTGGTTAGAGGAATAGCCAATAATAATCATTGGTCTTGTTTTAAATCTTGACAAGAAGCCAGACATGAACGGCCGTAAACGACATTCCACACTAGGTAGTAGAGGTATCATAGTAGGTAAAGGTAGGCAGGTAGGTGGATATTGAGGTGGATATACCTAGTCAAGGTCGAGGATATGTTAGATGGGAAAATACAAGGGACAATATAAATAAGTCTACCTTGGTGTCTACAATATCTTCACAATTAATACCTGTCCACAATGTGGTATGTTAACACCTCAGTTATCAGTTTATCACCATTGTTATCACCTACAATACAAATTTGTCGTTCTGAATGTTCCCGATATTTCGATGGTATCTAGTGTTTAGATAATAATTATTAATAAAAACCGATAGAAACCCACCTAGGATACTCAAGCCACATCAAAAACCTCGAATCATTTATCGCTCAACCTGATTGTCATGAAAAGGTAGGAGGTACTGGAGGTAGGTATACTTACAATCTAAATGTTTCTTTTTGGGGCCAATCATTTCCTCGGTGGTCGCTTTACATGCCGATTTTGCTAGTCCTTGTCCAGCCAAACTATGTTTGGCGGCTAATAGCCTATCATTTATAGTCTGTCCAGCTAGTCTGCCCGTCATATTGCACCTGTTGACTCACTTCTCACTTATTCGACACCAAAACCCAAAACACACACTGCACAGGAGCGCGAGGCACCGTACACCACCTGCCACAGCCCCTACAAAAACAGAATTTCGACTGAACTGTCTGCCTGACTGAAATCCTGAAATGAATATTTTATTCATTCAACAAAAAAGATAATAATCAACCAACTTGGCACTTGGCAGCTTGGCACCTTTGACAAATTGACATTGACAGTCGTCGCTCGGTCACTGGCAGTGGCTACTGTGCCACAGCCACTGTAACGTAAACGTAACGCTTGAAGCTGGGTCTATGGCAGGCACATAACCATGATGAAAATATATATATATCCACCTTTCACATAACTAAAACACTAGTTCTGTGGTTGCTGGGCGATATTCCGATTTTGGCTTTACCGATGCTAACGATGGAAAGCGTGATGCTGATGAAATAGTTGGATGATAATTTGAATTGAATAACATTACACGCTCTTCAACAATTTCTCATTCTGACCATAACTAGAAGGTCCAAATGATACCAACATTTCACGATTTTCACAATGTTCACTTTTCAGTCATTCTATATTAATAATTTGACCTTGATGTTGTGACCATTTCTCGGCGTCGTTAAGGTGGGGTCTCAGATGACCAGTGAACAGCTTCGAGGTCTGAAAAGCCCCACCTGTGCAACAAAGATATACATTTTATTTTGAGAGAAACATGTGAATTCCCATAAGAAAATGAATATCTTTTTTTCCATATGCTACATGCTACTTTTCAAGCTGATACCTTGAACATCTCAATGATTAGTTTTGCATGAAAACAGTTCTCAAATATATCATGTATTTCCCCTGAGAATGTTGCCATTTATATGTCTTTGATCAAGGATTATAAACTACTCTCCTTGGTCTTTGATGATATCTCATGAATTCAACTTATTATAAAAAGTTTATTTTTATAAATATGAAGTGAATTCACCTAAAAACTCATTTCACATTCGAATAGGGAAAAATTACTTATGTTTTTTTTTTCGTGTTTCTAATACATCATACGACCCTACTTGGGTAAAAATGTACAGATTCTCCACCTGGGTGACGCCGGGTTGAGAGGTTTGAGAGTTCTACACAGCTAGGAAGCTGTGCATTTGTCATTTAATATTGTGGACCTCTGGAAGGAGTTCAAATTCGTAGATCTGGTTCGGGCGACTCATAATTATTATGTGGGTCTGATTGGGTAGAATTAAAAATTTTTGTTTTTAGTCTGATTTTATATGGGATCGTCGTAGTATTATACACAACAAAGGAAGACGTCAAACTCGGAGTGTCAGTAGTGTCACTGAATTGCCAGTGTCAGAAAATATTTGTTTTTATTTTCATCAACAATGTCAACATAATACATAACCTGAATAACTTCACCAAAATTCTCATTTCCTCATTTTACCAAATTGTTTTGTTTTTCCTATACTCATCCAATGAATTAGATAAATCAAACTCATCTCGGATAAATTATGTCGACAAAATTGAAATTGTATTTGGGGAGAAAGGCAAATTACAAAAAATTCAATGTTTGCAATAAGTTGACCCTTTATATTACAGGTTGTAGATTCCCTGCACAAATTTACAAAACTCACTCCTCTGGAACTGCAGCCACTGATACAAGTCGGAAATCATCATGACCCTGATAAAACTGAACTCAGTTTACCTTTAAATATCTTGGAAACCCAGTTGGGTGTAACAAATATAACAGAGATTTTGAAAATTCAACCTGATGATATAATAAGGAATGTTCAAGTTGTTAGAGACAAGGCTAATAGAAAAATATCATTTGAAATTGATAGAACCTTTTTCATAAGAGATGTATTGGAAAATTGTGCTTCACCTGAACTGAATTTCAAAGCAAAAAGTATTGTGGTAGAGTATAGTTCCCCAAACATAGCCAAACCATTTCACTTTGGACATTTACGATCTACTATTATTGGTAACTTCATAAGCAATATCAACATATTTTCAAGAAATAAAGTGACCCGCTTGAACTACTTGGGAAATTGGGGTACACAGTTTGGTTTGATAAGACAAGGAATCACTGCTCTCAAGTACACATTCAAAGATATCCAAAGAGATCCCCTCAAGTTACTATACCAATCTTATGTTCATGCTAATCAGTTAGCAGAAAAAGATCCAAGTATACTAGAAAAAGCCAAAGCTGAATTTGCTCAATTAGAAAATGGTTCAGAGGAGCATCTGAAATACTGGCAAGAAATAATGAGTTATTCAAGAAATGATCTAATAGACACATATAGTAGGTTAGGAGTCACATTTGATGAGTATAATTATGAATCTGACTATGGTGCAAGGGTTATTCAGGACATCATAGAAACATTGAGGAAGAAAAACATCATACATAAAGACAAAGATGGAAAAGAAGTAGCTCTAATAGATGACAAGCATGTATCAGTCATCAAAAGTGATGGATCTACCTTATACCTAACAAGGGACATAGCAGCTGCCATTGATAGGTTTGCAAAATACAACTTTGATAAGATGTTTTATGTTGTTGATAATTCACAAACAGACCATTTTCATTCTTTGAAGAACATTTTACATAACATGGATTTGCCTTGGGCTGACAGAATATTTCACATCAAATTTGGTAGAGTTCGTGGTATGAGCACTAGAAAGGGGAATGCTGTATTTTTGAAAGATATACTGGATGAATGTAGAGATATGATGATCAAGAGACAAATTGAATCACCTAGTAAGTTTAAACAGTATCAGCATTCTAGGAAAATATCACAATAAAAATTATAATACTGGGACAGAAAAATCTGGGAAGTTTCTAATCATTTTCAAACAGTAAAATATCAATCTCCATGGTGAGATAGAAAAGATGCAAGGAATTGGTTCAGATGATAATTATTTGTTTTACTAGGCAGCAAAGTAGTAGGTTTGACTGCCATGGCTGATGGTTCATAGCCCAGGGTAGCAAGGCCAGGAATTCAGCCAAGGCAGTCAATTTACATTTGCTTTGGTGTAAAACATATAATTCTTCCTCCAAATGTTATGAACCAATTTCATGTAATTTTTTATTGAATACTCCAATTTCATTCAAATTACTTGGAATGTTGCATAGCAACAAACTTTTCCTGCCTAGGCAGAGAAAGTACACCTTTCCTGCCTGTTAAATGTCAGAGATAAGCCACTTTAAAGCTGCTTGGAGAAAAATTATTTTTCTGAAAAATTAAAAAATAATTTGAGTCTTATTGAAATTAGATGTGCTGTGGCTTTTTTACTTCACATTGATTTTAAATACAAATAAAAAATGAGGAGTATTGAAAAATAAATATTAGATCATTGGTTTTCTTTTTAAGCTACTAGAGTCCCTATTAGTGATGGGCAAACATCAGACATACTGGCTGTTTCTTGTGTTATAATCAATGACTTGAAAAGAAGAAGGCAAAAAGACTATGAATTCAACCTGGACACTGTTTTACAGGTAACAGTTGTTATCTACATAATTATTTCTTTATAGTTTTGAGTGTTCTCTTTCTACTTAGGTACAAGGTGATACTGGTATTAGACTTCAATACACTCACTGCCGTTTATACAGTTTAGAAAAAAATTCAGGTGCCATACCAGCTAGAGAATGTATTCCACAAATTCTTTATGAACCTGAAGCTTTGGCTCTTGTGAAAGATTTGGCAAGATTCCATGAAATTCTATTCAAAGCTAATGAGCAATTAGAATCTTACATTCTAGTGAATTATTTATTTCACTTATGGTAACAATTGCACTACATAAGTACATTCAGTCCCACTGAAATATATTTTTTCCAGTAACCAAATAAACAAAGCTCTCAAAACACTTCAAGTCAAAGGTATGAGCCCTGATGTGTCTGCTCAGAGGATTCTTCTGTTTAACACTGCCAGAGAAGTATTGAGGAATGGAATTACTATTTTAGGTTTGACACCTCTAAATGAAATGTGATATTTTATATTGTTGAAATCTATTGTATTAGTAACTTTTTGAATATGTGTAGTTTTATTTCAGGTGATAACAAAATTTTGCATCAAAGAAAGAAGTTATTGTAAATTTGAGGTACCTGAAATATATGTTTTCCATGTTGGAATGTGATAAATACAATATCAAAATACAAAAAGATTTTAGAAATATGTTCAACAACTTGTTTGCTTCATGATCCACAAAATAGATCCATTCTTTGCAAACAGGAACTTTGGATTGACCATCCCTTTATTGAATTTAAGAGGCATACCTTTTACACTGCCATTTATAATATACAACTTGGGATATATTATTGAAAAGACAAATTCACAAAGTTCCTTGAAAGATTATTGACTTAAACCTGTACTGTCAGAAAACCTGGATATTATTTTCAATTGAACATGGTCTCTATAAATGATCATAGCATCCTAGTGATTACTGATCATTGAAATATCTTATAAATTTGCCGCTTTGTACTTATGGAGATTGAACTATAACACATTCGGCCATCTCAATGGCAGGAATCCGTTTTCCCAAACATATATAACTATAGACCAATCAGAACAATCCGAAAGAAGCGCCTGCGCATTGACAAACGTCTATAGATACGGTGCAAGAAATACTCTATGTGCGGGCAATGGGCTCACCCAAACTAGCTCACCACCACAAACCGTTTCTTGCTGTGAGCTCCCTACGTTTTATAAAAAAATATTCAAATCCCCGATTTTTCGGACCTCTGAAAACGAGGCGATGATGTGACGTCAAAACCTTAATACTGAAACAAGACTATTCCAGACAGAGATGAATGATACATGATTTCTGACAGAGTGAATTAGCGCGAGATAACAGCTGAAAGAATTAATATAACAGTTGCCTCAGTCTCCGTCGGGCGTTTGGTATTTTCTATTAACTCTGGCGAGATGAGGTTTCTACGTCATAAGAGGGTCCGTTTTCAGAAGGTACTATTATTTATGTCCAAAAATAAAACATTCCAGTTAATTTTTCGATCGAATTATGTCGTCAATCATCATTTATGTATAGATGGATCTTTATAGGAACATGGTTTGAGTTAAAAGTTCTACTATAAGGTGTACACGACCATTGCTTGTGTGGACTAAATTGTTTCTGGAAAAGTAATATTCTCAGAATCGTGATTGAGTTTTCTCTATTCAGAATTTCTTTCCATGACCTGTATGATGAAGATCAATTCATTATTTTACTATCAAAAATTTCTTTCTTCATGCTATAATTTTCAAGTACCTCTATTCGTGGATCAGCGTTCGACGATTCGGGTTCAATCCCTTAGACAGTCGGCTTTTTTTTAATCCTGATTTCTCTGCTTTTCCGAAAAAAATACTTTTTAGGAAGAAGGTTCGTTTAGGCCAATTAAGGTTAGAATTATCAATATCAATAAGTAGAATTATCAATATCAATAAGTTCTTTCTTCATGCTATAATTTTCAAGTACCTCTATTCGTGGATCAGCGTTCGACGATTCGGGTTCAATCCCTTAGACAGTCGGCTTTTTTTTAATCCTGATTTCTCTGCTTTTCCGAAAAAAATACTTTTTAGGAAGAAGGTTCTTTTAGGCCAATTAAGGTTAGAATTATCAAAAGGAGTAGTCTTCTTTCTTATGCAGAAGGGATACTATCCTTCCTCCCTGAAGAATGTACCGGGTGAACAACTTAGAACGGCTGTAGGCCATATCTCAGCAACGAATAATGATACAAGTTTGAGATAGAATAAATCTAATGGTACGCATATCATTACACGATGTAATAGAGAAACTAAATCTCAACAGACCAACGAATACCGCAACATGAAAGCTTTTCACCAACGGAAGATATTAACTATCAAAGTTGGAAGAATGATAGATATAACAGCTGTTCTTAGTTGTTCACCCGGTACTACTGTTGAGGCCGATAGTGATTCGCTATTTCAATGATGTTTTTTTTCACGATTTACGAATGTATTCAAGTGTTATTTAATGCATACGCCATACATTTATTTGTTGCCTACTGTTTTATTTTAGAATGTACATTTATTTGTTGCCTACTGTTTATTTTAGAATGTTACAAACGATCCAAACATTTTACAACACTATTTCATGTTGAGCAACTTGTATATATAAAACTGTATAAAAACAATATTTTAATAGTTCCTTGAATGTGTATAATCTATCAAATTAATACAAGGTGTAGACATAATAGCAATACCTAACTACAGGCTCCTCATAAACATGTTTTTATTTGTTTCTCAATAGAACACGACAGCATAGAACACATATAAATTATCGTTTTTTCCAAGTAAACTTTCTTCTAGCTCCTGCTTGACCAGGCTTCTTCCTTTCTCTCGTACGGTAATCTCTCGTTAGTAAACCAGCTAACAACAAAATAACATCAATTCCTCATTTCCATCATACTGTACGGACAAATATTGACAAATCCAGGGTACTGGTTACGGAGGGGTATTGAATATAAAAAAGTAAAATATAAATATATTTCCAATAGACATATAATAATTAAGTTAACACATATGGTGGTACTTGGAGGAGGGATAATTACCATCTTCAGCCCTCCCTGGATCCGACACTGAGTCAAATGTACAGGGTGTCCCAAATTCGAGGGGTTCGGTAATCATAACAGATACAAAGTCAGTTAAATAAGGGCAAACTTGCGTAATTTGATGCTGATCAAAATGCCACCTCAAAATTCAACTTATTTTATCATATCACTTCAAATAAAGTCACAAAAAAATTAAAATGACATCCGGGATATCGGATTTTATTTCGTCAAATATCTTTGGAAGTATTCGGAATTTCCAAACTTTTGAGGCAGCATTCTGATAAGCATCAAATTGCTCTAATTTAACCGACTTTGTATGTTATAGTTACCGAGATCCCAATGATACCCATCGAATTTGGGACACCCTGTATATAGCCATTCTTTTTCTCTCTTCTTCTGTGATTGTGAATCATTTTCATCAATGGTTATGATTTAAATGTCCAGAACTAACTTGGCACAATTCAAAACCAGTTTAGGCATAATCAATTCAATTGAACTTCAAGAAGGCTATATCATTTGAATAACAAATTACAAAAGGAATGAAATTGTATGATAAAAATCGGTGCTAGTACTTCAATACTTTATATTTACACTAAATTCCATAAAAACATATACAGAGTGACCCATCTGGAAGGAAGCCACACTCATGAACCTTTTATTTATGTAGCGATTTTGACTCCTTTTTTTGAAATGGGAAAGGAGTATTTTGGAGCTAACCAAGGCCAACTGGATCACATTCAGCGGCTGCAAAACCCGGAGTCCATATTAGCGATTATTTTAGAAAACTCTGCGTAATTTTACGAGAAAAACTGACATGAAAAAATTGCGAGCAATTTTGTCTAATGTCAGTTCTTCGAGAGAAATAACTGATGGAAAATGTTTGAGCTAGTAAGGAAATTTATCCAATTAAAAAAAAAGTTCGTGTTTTTTGGCAAGATAAATCAACGACAATATACAAATAAACAACAATAATAATTACCTTTATTGATGATTCCGTGTAACTGGTAGTTTGCGGAATTGATTTTCTCATATTTCCGTGGTTTCTTCAGACGAAATTTTCCTAAAACGGCTCATCTTGCTAATTTACGCGTGAACCATACCCATCAATCAAACTTGAGACGACAGAAATTGGAGTGACATCAGGCGCAAATAGCTACTAGTTCAAAGGAGCAGGCAGTTTATCAGCGATAAAAAAAGGTGCATCCTTTTTTATCGACGTCAAAATGGCTCACGTCGTCGTCTAATACCGTTTTCCGTGTAGGAGTTGATTTATCATGCATAAAGAAGCTACATTTATATCTATTTCAGAGGATGCCGATTTTTCAGTGGCCTATGCGGATTTTTTTCTAAAACATCGTTAATATTATGGATTCTGGATTTTTAAGCATCTGAATGTGATCAAGAAGGCCTTTCCCTCTCCACATTTAAAAAACAATCGAAATCGGTACACAAAAAAAAATGTATGGGGGTGGCCCGTTTTCAAATGGGTCACTCTGTTCAAATGATTACAATAGAATGGGGAAGTTTCCTATATTGGGGTTCTCATCTCACTGTGATGTTTGAAAAAAATTAAAATATACGTATTTTTCCTTTCTTTCTACTTCAGAAAAAATAAATGAAAGGAACTTGGCTCCTCCATCATTTCTTAAACGTTATTTCTGAAAATCCACATTCACACAGACTTAAAATACGATTCCCTGTGCCAGTACGACGTTCATCAATATGTCTAGATTTCCGGAAATTGTTCTTTGAATGCATAATAACTATATTATACCAGCAATGGGATATAATAGGTTCTCCAATCCTACTTTGTCAACTATTATGAATAATTCCCATAAATCTCTCATTGGCTGAATGAAGTTGATTACTATATATGTTATTCATAACTTGTCAGGCATTTTTTTGCTAATGAATTCGTTCCTTAATAAAAGGAATCTATTTTCTAGGAAAGTTGCAGATTATATCTTGCAACAGCGCCTAATACTCCGAGTCCGTCCACACCACTCAAAATACTGACAGGCAAAACAAGAGGAAGGAGCCATGGGTCTCCGCTTCATTCTGCTCTGACCGATGACAGTAAATTAGGAAGGATAGTATCATTGAATGTAGCCGATAGTGATTCATTGATTCAATGATATTTTCGTTTAGGATCAAGTTCTATTCGAGATATTTCAATGCATGAATAACAAAACCATAACCTGTCAGAATGAAGCCAACTACCCTCTACCCTTTGCATTTCTGTTCCTGTGCATTTGTGTATGTTTTTTTGAATACCAGTTTTATTTCTTCTTCTATTTTTTCATTCGTTAGCTATTCGCTAGCTATATTCTTCACCATCAGCTATTTTCAGAATATACGTCACAGTTTGCCGCCCCGAAAATTAGAAATTGCTTCAATTTGAAAATGAAAACGACTTGGACTTTATCGATTGCCATTCTGTACAGCGTGGGCATGAAACTGTAGAGTGCCGAACTTATTTTATGAAAATTCATCGGAAGGAAACTTCCCCATTGAATAAGTTTGTAGAACGATTCAACTGGTTCTTGAATTTACTCAAACCTATAAATGAAGATCTCTTGCGTAAAATTATTCTTACCAAGTCTCATTTTCTCGATCATCTCTTTATCAACAAAACTTCTAAGGCCCCATGCGATCCCCCATCTGAGGGCGCCTGATTGTCCTGAAGGACCTCCACCTGCTACATTACACTCGATGTCGACCTTAGTTTGCATATTTGTAAATAACAGTGGAAAGAGCAGCTAAAAAATTCAGTTTTTTCATGTTGTTAGTCATGACAAATACAGGTCAGTTGGGTTCGTGATAAAATCCAAAGTGAATGTTGAGTGATATAAGAAATACTACTTTATGCTTCTGAAGTGGAAATGATCACGATAGCTCAACAAAGAGCGTAAAATTCCCATTCATTCTACTCATTAAACAACATTTTTTTCGAGTTTTTTTTTGTGCTAATTTTACCTAAGCATTTTCGAAATCAGGGGAGGAGAATGGGATAATATTGAAAGAACCAAACGACACAATTTTTCCAGTCTTTTTTCCATCAATAATTTTATTATGTGTGTTCAGGAACATTCAACATAAAATATTGTTTTTCTGGAACTTGTCTGCTGGAACCAAATATTGAAAATCTAGTAAGAGTTATTCTTTAGAATTCTGAAGTGAAAACTTCTTTATCTTCATACTGCATCGAAAGCAAGCGTTTGCTTCCTAAGTATTATGGTTGAGTGGAAGAGCAGCTGTCGATTTATCGGCGAGTTGAACTCTGCCTTTTGTTTCATTGAGACAATAAAAGCATTTATTATTATTATTATTATTTAAGGACACAAACCTGTCAATTTACTCCCACGGGAGAAAAAAAATACCTCCAGGAGGTAAAATGAATTGCCTTCAGCTTCCTTTCTTGGTGAGGTTAACAAGTTTATGATTATTTCAAGTAAGACAGTTTAATACCTCAATTCCCAGATAAAATGAATTCTTTCGATCTCGGAGAACTTTATCCACACTGCTCCAAATATGCGTTGATTAATTTTCTTGATTTTCAACTCTAGTATTATGATTTTGAAATTATTCGGAGCCCAAATCTATCCCCAATATATACATGAATTCTAGATCTCTTGCAAGGTAATCTGTTTGTCGTTTCATTTGGGAACGTCATTCTGTTCCTACCACCGTAACCAGAACGGAACAAATAAAACGCAACTATGTATATGTACTTTTTCCACAGTATCCACATAGTTCACAAAATACAAGCACGTGCATGTTTTTATGAGGTCATTTTTTGCTTTCAATATAAATTTTAAAACAAATGATGATGAAAAAATATTTTAGCCATATTGCAATCTTATTAGGTTGAAATACACTTCTTTACAAACCAAAAATAATTCAAAAATAATAATCTAATACCTCGATATACTGCCCCCGCACATTTTCTGCAAATATTTTAGTATCGATAATGGCTTTGCTGTTATAGGAGGGTGGAAGGGGGGGCGATAGTATTACACACCGAGGTGGGAAGTAAAGTAATTCATTCTTGTCGTGAGATTAGTTAGTTAACCGAGACGCAAAGCATTACATATTATATGGTTGTAAATAAATGTTTTTCTCCACCATCAGGAAAATGGATGAAAAATTGAAGCATACATTATTATATTCAATGCCATTTTGAATATTGAAAGATCGAATTTCAAACGATAAACTGATATATCATTACCATTAATAGGAAGTGCATCATCATGAAATCAGTTAGGTAATGATAACATGTAAACATCAAGGTTATTGAATAATTAAAGATCAGAATAAACAGTTCAATCTCACGAACATGGTGAATAATTCATTTTGCTAAAACTCACTACCTTGTAAGAATAAAAAACCATATTTTTTCTGTGACGGGAAAAAAGTATAACATTTCATATCTGTTGAATGGTTACAAAATGTCACTTTCCATAAATTACTTCCTTCCCACGAAAAAAAAGTGAGTACTTTTTTCTCGCATATATATAGGTGCAATGTTGTTGGCTTTTGATGTACCAGTTCCGAAAAATAAACCAATAACATCTGGTCCGAGAAAGAACTGAAAGTCCTTTTATCTCCCATCCCATTTCGCGGTTACGTAAATCACTAAACAACCACAAAAATGGAAATTTTTGACAATCAAAACACATAATTGAATTGATAGATATTCGATTACTTCAAAAGGTTTCCATAGTACACCTGTTGAAAACTTCAAATGTCACATCGATAATTTTCAGATTTTATAATGATGTAATATCTTCTCAATATTGAATAGTCTTTTTTCCTGTCACAGAAAAATATAGTATATTATACACGGGAAAAATATTAGATTTTAACTCACGCCAAAATCTATTAATTTTATCCCTTGTACAATAAATGACTATAATATTAACACGACAATTTCAGGGACTCTTTATTTCTCAATAATTGTAGTTCATCATGCTTGTAAGTTGACATAATTATGTGAAAGCATAGATACATTTGTCTATAACATTAGTCAATATCTTTACAACAACAGAATGAAGTATGTCCAGTATGAGCACACCACACATCAGCCTAAACTCTAAATTAGTGCTGGCCAACCTATACAATGTGTTGAGCTACTTTGGAAATTTTTGAACAGAAAATGAGCTACCTAGTCGTAAGTTACGTAAAACAACCTAAATAAAATTATTATATTCGACTTGTATTCATGTTACTTTTAGCTACTGGCTGGCCTTCCAGTGCTCTGAATGAACAAGAAACAATAATTCATCAAAATAGTTATTACACAAAACAAAATGAGGTTACCTTTAGTTACTTCAAAGTTATGGCATCGTGAATTTTTTGAATAAATAAATCCGCAGATTATAGAACCAACACACATCACTGAAATATAATGCTTATAACATGCAAAAAAATAAATTTGAAATAGAATAGAGCGAAGCGTTTTGGTAGTGTCAAACTCTTGGTAATTATATCTCAATACTAGAGTTATTTTGTGAGTATATTGTTTCTACCTATAAATCTAATATCACACTTTAAATGGCAAATATACCAGAACATTAGAGGAAGCAAAAACCTAGTGTTAACATCGAATCTTCAATAATTATACAGGGTGTCGCTGAAAGGTCTTTACAGAAACTTAACATGTATTCCTCAGTACAAAGTTGCTTAGTTTGGGCGCTAGATGGCTGTGAAGTTACAATTTTCAAATCGTTGTTGCTTCATAACTTTGAAACAGCTCATGAGATTTTACTCAAAATTGATAATTTGGCAAAGCTTTATTGGACAAAGAAACCCATATCATGAAAATGATAAATACATTCAAATTTTGTCGTAATGAACAAGTTACGCTATCCAAATTTGATATTCAGATCCTTTTTATCCGTTGGTGTAGAAGTATCAGATGTTTATTTACTGAAAAAATCAGGTTCTGCGCCGATGGAATAATATTTATCGATATCATGTAATGCGTTTCATTGCCCAATGGAACTATGCCAACGTTCAAAATTTGAGTGAAATGTCATGAGCCGTTTCAAAGTTATGAAGATTAGAAAATTGTAACTTCAAAGCTGTCTAGTGCCCAAACTAAACAACTTTGTACTGAGGTAAATTTGCTATTATGTATCGAATTGTTTTGGTCTGAGGAATATGTGGTGAGATTTTTTAGGGACATCCTGTATATATAAATTTTCAGAAAAACTAAATTTCGTATCAATAAACTCAATAAAATGGGATAAGCTCTCTTGTTTCCAAGGCTCATTAACCTTGTCGATTACTCGTAAAAATCTTGAATACATCCGATATAATGTATCTTTGTTCCATCTATTATTATTTTCGACTCTCTGTACCTTCATGATTCACAATTCACATTATTTTTCAAAAGATTTCAAATTTTAATTGTTCCTCTCCTCGTTACAAACTGACATCCTGATTCATATAACGTATATACAAGTAAAAAAATATAACAATATATGGTGCTATGATGTAAGAAAATATAAACAACAATACCCCTTAAAATGATAGGATTGAAATTACATATATGGCTCCCCAACTTTCCCGGAGGATGTTAACAAAGAACAACTTTATTTATCAATGCATTTTCCACGCAAACATAATGTAAAATTAACAATATATTATTTTTAGATGACAAGAAAAATCACAGTTTTCCATTATTTTTTTCCACCACTTTCCAAAACAGCATTGAGAAGCTGTTCCATTAGTTTCTGATTGGCTTCAAAGGCACTTTTAAGGTCCCTAACTTCTTTGCTCAACTGTTCAATTTGTTCAATGCTCGTTTCGATTTTACTTTGCAACAGAGGTAATGCATTGTATTCTAATATCTCACTATTTTGGTCTAAATTGTTATTATTCACTTTTTTGGAGTACGCCATACTGCTACTGTAAGATGATACAGTTTGCCCGTAATGCTTACGTTTCTTCGCTATCTCATGAGCTGACTTCAAAATGTCTCTGGGTAACCTTTTCTCTCTCGGATTCAAGGGTTTCACATTTAAAACTACTCTATATGCTTTAGGTGACACCAAGGCAGTCCAGTGAAGCATGTTCAACAAATATTGTGGCAAATAACCATTAAACAAAGCTAATTCCATATAAGAAATCAATTTTGTTTGCCTAACCAATTTTGATAGTCCCGCAGTTTTCTGCAAACCTTGTATGTCATGAACTGCTATACCAACTAGAAGATTCATCAAAATTACCGTCACAAACAACAGGAACAAAATATAGGTAACCTGAGCACTAACTTCAAGTAAAAATGGCGGATCTTCCGGATCATCGTCCACTAACAAGTCCAAATTTAGTTCTCCAGTCATCATGACCATAACGGTGATTAGGCCAATGAAAGGGTTTGCGAATGTTGAGGAATCAGGAAATATCACACAAAAACTTATCGTGAATCCAATGAGCAGACAGGAATATGCTAACAGCAACTTAGCAAACTCTCCTTGCACCCTTGTATACATAGCGACATAAGAACCAAATATTGGTAGCTGTCCAATCATCAACATCAAATTGGTCCATCCAAACAATACTGCAAACGCTCCAACGTGATTTTGCCATGTATAAGTTCTTCCTGTATAGATGAAGGAAATTACGAAAACACTCGCTATTACTGTCCACTCAATAATATTTTCCGGGTGTGATAGATATTGCTTGACCGAAGGGTATCCAGCTATCCCATATACCTTTCTTAGTATCTCGCAACAAGTGATACCTACTAAAACGA